CAGACATGAGTTAGTTCAAAAATCATGCCTTATAATTATTAAAGCTACCAGACCTTTCACCAGATTCTTTTTTATATCTATGCTCAAAAAAGAAAAATAGAAACTTATTGCTCCATATAGGAACCAACCACCACTACTTTAAAAATGTTCCCACATGTAATCAATTTTGTCACCTTGACTTTAGTGTCCCACTCCTTCCCCAAGTTAGAGTAAAGTTCAAACTTCTACTATTCAGGGCTAGAAAGTCAATGTTCTCACTTCTTGAAGGCCAGATGGTCTCCACTATAAACATTCAACTCCATCATATACAGTACATGAGTGAATGTGTCTCTGTTCCAATAAAACTTTATTTACAAAAACAGGTGTCAATTCAGATTTAACCTAGGGCTATAGCTCACCAACTTCCATGTTTAAGACATGATGGCCAAAAAAAGTTGGGGAAGAAAAACCAAAACAGAACAAAACACATCATCCCACACCCATGAAATGAGAAACTATCACGAGCACAATCCAACCCAGAACCTGCTTCAGGGGTTAAAAAAAAAAAAAAAGTATTGTATTTTACTTATTCACTTATCAGACAGTAAACATTTGGTTGCATACACATGCCTGAAACTGAACATCAAAGCCCTACTTGCACAGACCCAAGTCTATAAAGAAAAACATTTTAAATAATTAGAAAAAAATTTCAATGTTTTGATGACATTGCTGAGAGTATGAAATGGTGAGTGTCACAAAGCTCTGAAGAAGGCACAAAACTAGTGACATTAGGCCTGAATCTCCAGCAATCAACAGGATTATGCTACTTGGAGAAAAGGATGAAAATTATACCACATAAARGGAGCAGCACAGCAAGTGCATAAGCTTAAAGCTTAAGATCAATACATTCCAAGAGATCAGCACTGCTGGACCATATGCTCAACTTTCTCCCTTGACCCTTCAGTGCATTCTCCATATAGAAGCCACCATGCTTTCAAATATGAAATCCTCCAATGGAGTTCCACTGTGATTAAAAATTCATTCTCACATGACTGTAATTTCAGTTACTTTGGAGGTTAAAGTAGGAGGATCACAAGTTGGAGGTCAGCCTGGAAAACTTAGTGAAACCCTATCTCAAAAAAAAAAAAAAAGCTGGGGATGTTATTCAGATGTAGAACAACCCTGGGTTCAATATCTAGTTACACCCCACCTACTCCTCCCCGCCCAAACAAAAAGCTCTACAGCCCTTGACTATCTTTCTGAACTTATCCCCCCATCTCCCACCTCCCCCATACTGTGGTCCACACCTCCTGCCTCCTCCTCCTCCCCCCCCCCACATACACACAGCATTACCTATCCAGCTCCACAAGAACACATACTCCATTCTTGCCACATTTTAATATCCATCTGGAGAATAAACCAAGAAACCAGGAATGTGTCTCCAGACTTAAACTGACTTTGAACTYGTGATCCTCCTGCCTCAACCTCCCTAACATCTGGGAATACAGGTGTGCGCCACCATGCTTGGCTCATTAACAACAAGTTCAGGTCACATATTTCTTCAGAGGGCTTTCCCAAGTGCCCTACCTGAAGTCACACTTTAGGCCATCTCTCAGTCAGCTTCATTGCATCAAGAAACGCAAATATTCAGATTCCAGCTAGACTTGCATACTTGAAAAGATGCCAGCTATGGCCTACTTATGTTCTGTTGCTAAACCATTTGGTCTAAACAATGTCACAGAGAAACAATACCAGGATTTTCTCAAACCTCAGTCTGTGTTCCCAAACTGTATTGCTAGCAGTGACAATCTGAAAGTCACTTGCTGGAAGCTTAACGACATACCCTTGAAGATGAAATAGAATTCTTAGCAATTTGAGGCATTAATATACCAGTCCTAGAACTAATTTGGTATTTCTGGCTTCTTGTTCAGATTCCAGTTAATATTTGAGTATTTCTAGTTTTATGCAAATAAAATTATACTCTCATTAAATTGCTAAAACCAAGGCTAGGAACCAAGATCAAATGGTGACTAGGACAAAAACTTTGCACACTATAAAAAACAAATGGTTAGCTCTTTTTAGAATAAAGAAAAAAATGATGGGAACTAGCAGAGAAAGTTGCATAAGTCATTATTAAAATACTTTCTGGGGGGAGGGGATACCAGAGATTGAAATCAGAGGCACGCAACCACTGAGCCACATTCCAGCCCTATTTTGTATTTTTACCTAAGGACAGTATCTCACTGAGTCACTGAGTACCTTGCTTTTGCTGAGGGTGGCTTTGAACTAGTGATTCTCCTGCCTCAACCTCCATAACCTCTAGGATTATAGGCATGCACCACCATGCTTGGCTCATTATCAACATACTTTTGATCATGTGATCTTTTATTGATAGCACTTGTGATGTATCCTGGTCCAGGTTCTGAGAATGAACCAACTACAGCTGAATCTTGCTCTAATCCCAAGGTCTAATTGAGCCCATCTCAAAAATGGCAGAAATAAAGAGGCAGTTTATTTATTAAGGAAAAAGGAATATGTCTGTACACCTAGAGGACTAAAGTTCTGGTCCAATTGGACTGTTGAGAAGTGAAATTCATTGTATTTCTTTCACAGATTAATAACTTAAGAATACATTCATTTTCTGTGATATAAAAGATACTAGAAGCGGGTAGTGGGACACAGTAATGATAGATAGGAAGCTRTCCTCTACTCTCACCCTCAAAACAGGAAGCACAACGATTTCCACTGGAATAGTTTTACTCCTTGCTGTGTATCATAATTGAGGGAGAAGAGCAGGAGAGAAAGTAACAGCAGTCTGCCCCTCCTCAATATTCAGATGTGGGAATAAGTTTTTTCCCCATTTTTTTTTWATTCTTCCACCTGATGKAGATATTCTAGGCAATTGTGGTACTTAACATTTGAACACATGTTACATCTAACAAGACTAGAAATGTTTACTGATCATTAGAAACTTACAAAGACTCTCAAAGGTTGGCATTGGCTATTACTGATTGTTCTCTGTAAGAGAAATCATCTGGAAATGGCTATCAATTATCTCCTTTACTTACTTCACATGAAGTTCCTTTCTCRTTCATTTCACAGAAAGAGACCAACAACAGCTAAAGCAAGGGCCTGGGAGATAAATTTTCCTCAGTAAAATCTTGGGTCTTTGGGAGCTTCTGAAAGGAAGGGGTGCTTTTTGTGTAAATTCCAGAGTAGACCTAACAGGTGTCAACAGGTAAAGAATGAAAGGCTAATGTATTAACAGAGTCTCCAGGCAGCTTTTGTCTGGCCCTAGGTGAGCTGATGGAGTCTGGATATTTACTACCAAAAAGGGAAGGACAGAAGAGATTTCTCTGAGCTTCCAGGCAAGTCAAACATTACCAAACTCTATCCCTTTTGTAGAACCAAACTTGTTGGCTGAATGTGAGTAGATCTCAGTCCCTATAAACAAACTAGGAATAGGAATTTTTAGCTCTGTATTAATTTGATCCTTCACTTTTTCTTTCAAAGTGCAGTGCTTTCAAATTTGTACCTTTTGTCCTTTTTATCTCGTTTTTGCTAGACTTTGTTGACTGGTTACAGTCATTATCTTTAAGTGATCCTTTTCAGATCGAGGACACACCTCCCTTGCTTTGCCCACCTATCTTAATGTCATGTGTTAGGCATACAGTCCTAACATTATAGATCTGCCATGGAAAACAGCAAATGCTTCAGTGAGCGGATTCAGTAATTGATTTTGAACTTATTACATTTTGCCTAAAACGATAGTATCACTTGTTCGTGGTAAAATGGGCCCACAAGAGGAAGTGTCATAAATGCCAAGTAATGATTTTTCTAAAAGGCTGTAAAAGTACTTATTTGTCCAGAAATTCCAACTTTTTCCTCAAATGTTTACCACTCAAAATCAAATATATTCTTGCCTTTTCTTCTTTATCACTACATGATTTTTAATTTTCATGACAAAAAAATCTTTACTATCTTAGAAAAATAAGTTACTATATTATATAAGTTATTAATAAGCTTAAGCAAGAAATTAAAAAGCCTAATATGAAACTCTATGGAAAACAATTTTTCTGTCCCATTGATAAGAATTGTTAAAAGTTAGGCAGTACTCAAAAACCTATGACTACCTTATTTCTTTGAAAAGGTAGTCCCTTTCTTTTAAGGCCTCCAAGCTGATAGCAATGGAAACTGTAATTATTATAGGACATTTGGGGTAGTTTTTCTTTGGTAGCCCATGATTAAATATGTTCACTCAAATGTACTTGATTTAAGTTCTTTATACTCTCTCCCCTGACTTCCCCCTTTTATATGAAGGGCCATATAAAGATTTAATTCCACAATTTCCAMCAAAAATTCACACAATTATATTTTGAAAATGTTTCTTTTGAACAGATGCCTCTATGGAGAGGCTGTCCTACTCAACACTCAGAATGAGTGATTTTTTTTTTAAATTTGTTTTAAATCTATGGGCTCCTGTTTATTAAAACCTTGAAACTTTTTGTTTTGCTTGTTTTTAACAAATAAGTTGACTAGAGGAAATGTTCATATTAGTTATCTGCTTAAATTCAATGTGGATTAAAGTTAATGTTGAATCTTAGAATTAACTGCTCTGTTGGCTGCAATTGAAATGGTAATTATATGGAAACGGCTGTAATATCAGTCCACCTATATTACATGAAGTTCCTTTCCTTAAAATATAGCAGGAATTTTTTTTTAAGTTACCTTAACCTCATCTTGCAAATGAGAAACTTAAATGGTGGGTTCATGGCAAAATTCTATGAAGCAAGTAAATTTCAGTCTAGAATGACGGTGGCTTAAAAGAACACTAACGCTTCTCTTTACGGTTCGCCAGGAAGGATTTTAAAAAGTCCTATAAAAAGTCCTTTTCCCCAGTCTTCGATAAGAGCAACCTAGTCGTGTAAGAATAAAGGCCACAGTTGACTTTTTCCCAGCTGCAGTTTCAAAGCTAATTAACGCGGTGACAATAGAAAAGCGTGGAAAGATGCTCTTCTTACCTCCGGTGAAAGCAGTGTCCCAGCTTTGCCACTACTATAAGCATCTTTCCCAGGGCCAGAGCGGCAGGCACCAGTCGCCAGAAGTAGGGGAACGGAGCTCTGTCGCGACACACGGCCTCTCTGGGGCTCTGGGGCTCTCCCGCGCCCTTCACGGTTAACCACGACTCTGATCCTGTCATTTCTGCTCAATCATCCAGCAGCTGCTTATAAAGACCGGGTGAAGCATGATGGGCACGAGAAGCAGGAGTGGGTGGAGGAGGAGGACGGGCGCGAGCGCCCAGCTCGCAGACTGACTTCAGCTGGAGGACCCCGGGGGACCCCCGCTGCTTCGCAGCTGAAGACCCGAAAGCCGCACGTTACGGGGCGGAGATCAGCTTTCCAGGAACGAGCTGGAACTGCGGCACAAGCCCCGCAGCTTCCTGGAGGCTCTTCTAGCAGATGTGTGTGAACCCAAACGGGCTGTGTGCTCAGAGAGCGACCCCTGCCACGACTGAGCATGCTCGGCTTCCCGGCTGTCTCGCCAGGCCTTTCAACGGTTGACTTCTCTAGATGCGAAAAAGGGACAATGGAGAAGTGGGCAGAAGGTGAGATCAATGTAGGTAATTTTAAACACGAAGATGACCTCCTCGCCTCCCCTCCCCTCCCCTCCYCTCCCCTAGAAAATGAGGGTGGGGGTGCAAGTGGAAGCATTTATCATCCTGCACTAAGCAATGATTTTTGTTTTTGTTTTTTGACAGGTTGACAAAGATGTTCTGGAAGCGATCAATAGCTTTTGAACTCTCTCCGTGCACAATTAAGTTGCCTCAGGGGTCGTGTGTGCATTGTATATAGTGAAAGGATTTAATGCTAACAAATCACTGTCAATCAAAGATTAGGTATGGAATTGCCGAAATTTGAAGGTTTAGGCAATGTGCCACGGATGAATTATTCTCTATACGAGTGTAACATACACCTAGACAACTTTCTTAAAACAGTATTTCATAAAAATGCAATTTTTGAAATTTTAATGTTAGTCTATATTATAATATGTACATTTCGAAACGTAAACCTTCCACATGGCAGCTCAATTGAAGCCGAGAATATTTGGCTAATTCATGATTTCTAAATCTTTTCTCTGGATTTAGTAAATGGCAAGTAATCCATTAATGTTTGAGAATGAATTATGGGTTTGCTAGGTAATCTGTAAATGGCACTTAACCCGGAAAGCTGAGGTTCTTGAATTTGATATGCACCTATATTCAGCTCTTGACCTTCTTGGTTTTCTATTTTGGGCGGGTCCAGTGCTTAAAAATAGGAATACACTGTTTTTGCCATACACACAATGCATAAGTAAATTTGCTTTTCAATACTGTTTGCAGCTTAGTGTTTTTATTGTGGCCCTTCATCTCCTCTTTTTCAAGCCCCGGAACTTGATACTCACTAAGTTGGGCCCAATTCAGAGCAACTTTCAGAACCAGCAACACTGACTCTCCATGATTTGCAAATAGCATTTCATTTTTAAAAACTTCTAGCCAGCCATCTCTGCCAAAACTATGGATGGTGAATCTAAGATGCTTTCACAGCTGAAAGGGATCCTGAAACAGCCTGAAAGCTGACTGCAAGTTCACTGGGAAAATGTGAGTGAGCCAGATATATCATGATTTCTTACCAGGTGTCTCTGGCCCTTGGATTTAGTCTGGGGCAATAAATATTCCCCCACTCTTTTTCTGGATTCTTCTGCCCTCCCATTAAGATTTAGGTGTCACCTGAGTACCTCCTGTTTCCAGAGGTCTCCCCGCCTCTGGGCTCTCCAGGGCCAGCTTTTATCTCTACACTTTCTGCATTGACCTGAGCTGAATTATGCCCTACCTACCAGCAGCTGTGAATTCCTTAATGGTGGAGACAATGCAGACTGCTTGCATCTATACAAATGTATTCATCTGCCCAATTTCTGGTTTTCATATGCTTTCAGATTAGATGAAGGCAGCATGGGAAGGAAGCCTATTGTGGTGACCACTTGGAAAATTGGTGGAGTTAATCTGGAGACATTTTCTAGAGGAAGTGACTCCACAGGAAAAAGGATCTTTTCAGTATCACCACATCAAAGGTGTCATAGATGGAAAAGAGAATGTAGGTCTTTTTGTATAGATCTGGTAAGCACAGATACCTAGGATGGAGCTATATTTATGTTTTTTAATCCCCACCTCTCAGTCACAAACAAAAATAGAAGCAGAAGTAGAGACACAACTGCCCCTGCCCTGATGCTCCCTCAGTTTCATAGCAGAGATTTCTTACTCCATCTATTTCATCTCTCAGAATTTCTTTTTGTTTTTCCTGATTTTTTTTTTTTAATCCTGGGAATCTGGTTTTCAAAGGTTGCCCATGGTGCCCTCATTACCAAAACCAGGAATTTTCCAATTTTGATGACAAAAGTCATAGCACTCACTCCATTTGCACCTTCTCCTCTGCCTAGCACAGCTAAATTCTTTATGAACATCACATTTAATGACCACAAGAAGCATCTTGTAATAGTATTTATCACAGTTTTAAATTTAGTTTACAGTATTTAATGATTGCTAGTGTCAGAACAAAACAGGGACACAGACAGTAATTAGTGACGGATAGACAAGGACAGAATATTATCCTCTGATGCTGCAGCCCAGGCTGGGAGAACACAAGGTGATACAGCTAACAAGCAGAGGAGGAGGGTGTGGATTCTGTGCTGTTTGGTGCCAGAGTCACCAGTGCTTAATCTAGATTATCACATCAGTCCTTATGCTTGCCTTCCCTGAGGCCATTCCAATAGTTGAAACTGAGAGTAAGGGCCAATTCCAAGTTGACTTGATGCCAAACTCTACGCTTAAACTCTCCGCCAAGCACTCCTTCGCCTCCTCTATAAAATTCTTTTTTTTTTTTAATATTTTATTTTTTTTAGTTTTCAGCAGACATGACATGTTTGTTTGTATGTGGTGCTGAGGATCGAATCCGGGCCGCACCCATGCCAGGCGAGCGCGCTACCGCTTGAGCCACATCCCCAGCCCAATATAAAATTCTTTCTTCTTTTGAATTTTCTGACATAATTTTTATGATTCTGATCCCTTCCCCCCTCACTTTTTTTAATAATTGAAGTTTCTTTTCTAGTCATTTGTGCCATTATCATTACTCTGTCACTTCTTATGACCACTGTTTAGCTACTCAACTGTCACGAAGGTTTTTGTTGTTTTTGATGTGTGATTTTAATCTCTTACTCTCTAATCTGTTTCTCCTTACAACCCCCAAAAGTATCTTCCTAAAAATTCTTTTGCCAATACAGTGAACATTCTTGGTTGTCTTTACAGAGCCCTTAATAGATCCCTAGTTATGAGTCTTTATCATCCATGCCCCCCAAATAGTCCACTTGCTCAATGAGAAGTGGCCTGGTCCTGATTCATCTTAGGGCAACACTACCATGCTCTTGCCAGTCATTGGTTAGTAAATGGCCATGTGACTTAATTTTGATTGATGAAGAGGCCATGCAAGTTTGTGACAGGCTTCAGGAACATTCTTCTTTTCTCCTGAGAATCACAGAAATCCACTAAATGTCTCACATTTAAACCAGGAAGTTATCACCCCTAAGTACTGTGAACCATGGTAACACCCTGAGAAGATCAACCTTACGCCAACACTGTACAAAGTAAAGCACAAAGATGAAAGGCATGGATGTTTGGTGGTGTCACTGAATTGATCTGCCCACCCAGATGCCTRCCGTTTCACTTGGTTTCTCAGAATATGAGCCAATAAAATCTGTTTAAACTGTAAGAATTAGGTTTTCTGCTTGTAGTGAAAAAAGCTTCCTTGTCTGAGAAAAGAAATTTTTTTTTTCCCTTTCCTTTCAAAATGCTAAATTAAGAGCTGGGGATGTGGCTTAGTGGTAGAGCTCTTGCCTAGCGTGTACAAGGCCCCAGGCTGAATCCCCAGCATTGGAAAAAAAAAAAAAAAACTGAAATGATGAAGAATAAGCTAAATTTCTTAGCAAAGCATTTGAGAACCTTTTCTGCACCTTCTGTCTTTGTAATCTTGCTCCACCATGTCATTTTGTATTTTCTATCAAGTTAAATTTTCCATGAAATCAAATTTTCCCTCCAAGATCTGGATCAAAAGACACTTCCTTGAAGATAGATTTTCAAAATTAGTATTTCYTCTTCTTTGTTGAGCTGAGAATCATATCCAAGGTCTCACATATGTCAGGCAATCATTCTACCACTTAGCTACATGCTCAGCCCCAGTATTTCTTCTTTCTCTATCTTTATACATGTTGCTTATACCTCTGTAAGTCTGAGTCCTCMAAGAATCAGAGCAGCCAAGATAGAATTATACTACAACAAATTTTTATTAGAGGAAATGTCTCTAAGAGGAAATGGAGAAGGAGTTGGAACAGGCTGCAGGAGCCATAGGGCCATGCAAGTATAACCTCAAAGGAGGGAGGGAGGAAAGAACGAACTTAGTTGGGTGCAGTCCAGTTGTCAAGAATGTTCAGGAAGTCTGGTGGGGAATCCTCAAGAYAGTCTTTTCAGAAGAGGCTTAAATGAGCTACCTTAGTATCATTGCTACTCTCTGTTCTTGGTGGGGAACAGCAGGTAGGAAGTGTGGCCCAGCACAGAAGCTGTCCTGGCTGTCCACACAGCAGGGGGCCTTGGTCACTTATATTCTGCAGCCAGAGGACTGGGCAATGCTTGCTTATGGCTGCTGCACCATCGTTCCTTCACTCTGCCCTAAACTCTATTTGATTGGTGTATCTATATCAGTAAATAAAAAATGTAATCCTTCATTGTGGATTATAAACTACAGAAGAGCAGGACCCTTTCTGTCCTACTTACATGTTTCCCATAGTASGATCTCAGCAGAGTATTGCCATGTTACTGAACTGAACTCTGGAATACATTGGCTCAGGCCTCTGTTTGCAATTCCTTAGGTAAGGAATAGGGATAATAGCCCCTTAAAGCAAGTCCCCAAGTACTTGCTCCCAGAAGTTGTAAGATACTATTCCATGATTAATATTGTTTTTAAAAACATTTAGTCACATTCACCTGGTAACCCA